CTTAAATAAAAATTTTCTGATTGCTTACATGCTAAAATGATTAATTCATTCATTACAATGTTATCCTTTCCACCGTTTTATTTATATTACCCCACCTAATAAGCGGTAACTTTGAGGTACCTTACACTATTTTTAATCAGTTAAATCAGCTGCTGAAATGCTAAGTGCAGTATCATATTATATATATATTCATATAATAATTGAAAATTCATTTTAACGCGAAAGTTGTTTTAGAGCACTCTACATTCGCTTCTTGAACAACATTCAAATATACAGTCAGTCAATAAAGTTTAGGTCCAGCGAATTTTTTACAATACCGGCAACTATTTTTTAGATATTTTACTTTTCGCAAATTTTTTATAAAAATATGATTAATTCTACAAACAAACCCCAACAATGAGAGTTCCAAAAACTTCGTCATACTTGCACTTTATTATACTAAAATTTAATTGGCAAAAAAACTGCATACTCAGCTTTTTTTTAGAGAACGTAAATAAAAAGCGCAATATTTGAATGCAATTTTGCAGAATTTTCTTTAATTTTGCACAAGGTTTGGAGCGCTGACTTTTGGGGTTTTTTTGGAGAATTAATTAAACATATTTTTACAAAAAATTTGCAAAAAATCAAATTTTTAATAGTTGCCAGTCGTGTAAAAAAATCGCTGTACCTAAACTTTATTGACTGACTGTAATTGAAAACGAAACTTAAAACCACCTTAAGACTTGCTAATGCCAATGACACCGCAACCCAGACGAGCGCCTGCATTGCCAGTTGACTTGCTCAATTCGTGACCGCCTTTGCCCAAGTCATCGGGATCAGCGTGCACAACAATAGTGCGTCCGACAATGCTGTTGGGACCGAAAAGTGTAATCTGACTGTCGGTAATTTCGACCTTAAGGAAAATGAAAAAATTTAAATAAAAAATTAAGATATTTGTGTTATTAAATAATACACAAACCTTAGTTGGACCATTACCAGGGGCCTCAATGTTACCCAAATCACCTAAATGACGATTTTCGTCGGTTGGAGCGCCATGCTCTTTGCCAGCTGGATTGAAATGGGGACCAGCCGATGTGCAGCCATTGGTGTTATCTCCAAATTCGTGCACATGGAAGCCATGTTGACCCTTGGAGAGACCCAACACCTCGCCTGTTACTTTTACCGGAGAATTGGCATCCTAAAAATAATGCACGTAAATAAACATTTTGTAACTTGTGTATGCATTCAAATGATTGTCGCAGAGTACATATTATGTATATATTATAATATGAAGACCTACATTCCTACATACATATGTACATATGTGTATCGAGTTAATGTTTGATAAAAAATACTTCTGCACATATGTGTACTTACATACAATGTGTCGAAAGGTTCTTTTCTTATATGCATACATAATAGAAGCAGCTCCATAAACTTTTAAGGTTTTACGCGTCGCTAACGATTGGAATAAATTAGCATTCATTATCATTAAAAAAAAGCTGGTCAACGTAAAAAGCAATATATGTATTACAAATTTCACAATATACTCCTCAATTTGATAACAAGCTCTGCTATCTCATTTAATATTAACATTGAACATACCAATGTAAATATGTATATAGGTAGTTACTTTACACATTGGCGAACTACGGCACACGGCACCCAACAATCGGATAATTAATCCTACATTTTTTCATTATACTTTTTAACATTAAAAACGCTTATTCATGCTGCTGATATGATACTTGTGAATTGATAATTTTACAAAAAGAAAAATTAAACGAAACGCCGACTGCGTTTGTGGGGCTCCGCTGCGACAGCCGGTGTCGTGACCTTGGACCCCAATAGAATCAAAGAAGTCCAAATCAATTTGTACGCTTCTCTTACCTGCTGTTCGAAGAAAACGGTGCCCTTCGCATCTCCGTTTATTACACATACAGCTTTAGCAGGCATTTTTAAAGATTTATGTTTTTTTTATTCTGATGAAAATACTTTCCTCCTGTAGGGTGAATTTAAATGCGACAAATTATAAAGTCGATTGAAGAGCGAACGGATCAGATGCAAATCGAACAGTGCACTTCACGAAAACCTGCTGAAATAAATGGCCGCCGTATGCAGGGTTGCATTGTAAACGCATTCACAAGAGCTGCGGAAGTGTAAAACAGGAAGTTGTGAACTTTAACAGTTACATGAAGAAGACTACGGAAAGGGGACCTATTTTACTGAAGCTTTCTTATGAATTGCACACCGTCTTCAAAAGAGTCACAACTCAAAATTTGACATTTTTGAGATTATGCGCTAAAACTGTACACAGGGCTTTTATTTACCTTTCAGCAAAAGCAGGAGCAAATTTTGTGTTATAATTTGTACAAAAAAAAAACCTAAGGTAAAGTCGCCCTTGCCCATATGATTATCATGTGNAAACGAAACGCCGACTGCGTTTGTGGGGCTCCGCTGCGACAGCCGGTGTCGTGACATTGGACCCCAATAGAATCAAAGAAGTCCAAATCAATTTGTACGCTTCTCTTACCTGCTGTTCGAAGAAAACGGTGCCCTTCGCATCTCCGTTTATTACACATACAGCTTTAGCAGGCATTTTTAAAGATTTATGTTTTTTTTATTCTGATGAAAATACTTTCCTCCTGTAGGGTGAATTTAAATGCGACAAATTATAAAGTCGATTGAAGAGCGAACGGATCAGATGCAAATCGAACAGTGCACTTCACGAAAACCTGCTGAAATAAATGGCCGCCGTATGCAGGGTTGCATTGTAAACGCATTCACAAGAGCTGCGGAAGTGTAAAACAGGAAGTTGTGAACTTTAACAGTTACATGAAGAAGACTACGGAAAGGGGACCTATTTTACTGAAGCTTTCTTATGAATTGCACACCGTCTTCAAAAGAGTCACAACTCAAAATTTGACATTTTTGAGATTATGCGCTAAAACTGTACACAGGGCTTTTATTTACCTTTCAGCAAAAGCAGGAGCAAATTTTGTGTTATAATTTGTACAAAAAAAAAACCTAAGGTAAAGTCGCCCTTGCCCATATGATTATCATGTGCTAAGAAAGTTTTTGCGTTTTCTGACAAACGTAGTATTCCATTTTGACGTTAGTTTTTTTTAATTCAACAGTTTTAAAAATCAATAGTTAACGCTACTATTTCAATACAAAATGGCGGAATTTGCCCAACCAATTACGATTTTCTATGAATCCGTTATTAATAACGATGAAGTTAAGGAATTTAACTTTGATGAAAATAATAAGCTGCTGTTAATACGACAAAACGAGCGCATATGGGCGGTTGGAGCAACATGACTGCATGAGGGAGCTCCCTTGATAAAATGAGTTTTGGGTCGTGAACGAATACGTTGCTCAAGACATGGCGCCTGCTTCAATAAATGAGGATTTACCGGGACTTATATTTGTTACCAACATACCCGGTTGAAATTGGCACAGAGAGGCGCAAGTCCGCGCCAGACATATAGACCTCAATAAAATCGATCGTACCATAGATATGGTAGCTTACCAAAAGTCAAATGAACGCCTCTTTCTGCTTGGAGGTGGTGGACCAGAGTCGGCGCCATGTGCAGAAACATTACGTCAAGAAGTGTACACCGGTAGCATAGTGATGTCTTTCGCGAGGAATATTTGCCCTATGACCATACCATCTTATCCAAAGTTAGGGAATTCGAAATTGATGATATTTATTTACGTAAATCTGCATTTTATGAGAAAAATCATATCAAAATCTTGTTAAGTGTGGAGGCAACGAAATTGGATACAAATAAAAAAAAAAGTTACCTGGTGAAGAAATTACATAATAGAAATGTCTTCACTACTACTACACCAGAGTGAAGTCAGGAAGTTCTTAAATTTTATATTGAAAAATAGTAAACTGCTAAAGAAAAATTAATTTTTTTACAGATTGTTTTAATTTGTCCCCATAAATATTCCTTGGAACCGACTTTTGGCGATAAAATCGTACCGGAATGACTCGAGTTTTATCCGACCAGGGGCGGTTGTTTCGGCGATCTAACCCCGTTTAGGACGGCGAAATCCCTCAAAAGTTGTACGGCGATAGGGCTACATCTGTAGCTCGTTTCTGTAACAATTCTCTACCAAGGCGAATTGAGATATGAATTCGCCGCCCTGTTCTCTACTGCTAATTAGTAGGTGAGAGTGACGTATTTTCTCTACTAGTAGAGAAATAATCGGTAGAGAAAAGTTACAGAAACGGGCTACTGCTTCTCTCTCAGCGGTTTCATTGATACAGATATGAAATTGGGGACACTTGTGCCCGATATATATGTAGGTGGCGACATTACCAACGCACCAGTACTTACCGATGCCAAGCAAGGTATGCCCGTTGAACATTATCAAGTTGCACAATATCATGGACATATATCTGGTAATATAGCAGAGCTGCGTACTGTGCCCAAGTTTACCGCCTTTGTTTTCGGTATACAGTATTTGCAAATTGGATATGGTTCGCGCCATGATGTCTTTTACGGTGATTTGAAGCGTATTGCATATCTGTGTTTTCTTTTGTTTATGTGCTTGAATAAAGGTATCTATAGAAAAAACACAAACTATTATTTGACTAGTATTTTGGGTACGCAAATTACTAGATTAACAAACTAGGCAATATGAATTTTTTGTATTTTTTTAAAAAATTAATTGATTTAGTGATAAGTTTCTAATAATATTTGCTAACAGCCAGCTAGCTCTAGCTCTGTTCCACATAAAATATAAGAATTCGCCAGGATCCCGAAGAAAACTTCATCAAGTTAAAACAACATATTTTACATTGATATTGTAAAGAATGAGGAATACACAGAGATTATCTATATTCTTTGTATTTTTTCTCAATACACATTTTGTCCAAACATTGAAATGGAGTTTTCTTTATTATTATTATAATAGAAATAAAGTGCAATCATCATTATACATATCTTTATCATAAATTTGTTTGTTGGGGTTTTGTTTGTTTGCTTGCTTGCTTTATAATTAAAATTTTTGTTATTAGTTGTAATTTGTTTTTCTAGATTTAGGTTCGATATAATTGTAGGTATGTAGAGATAGGTAATTAATTCTTTTGCTTCCTTTTCAGTTGCCACACAACGATGATTTATTAATTTTTTGCTTCGCTTTGCTTTTCCTTGCCTATTTTGATGTTGCTTTTGTATCCACCATTCCATGCTTCCTGCTTCCAAACATGCTGCTTTATTTTTAGCTTGTATATTTATTATTACTTGTATATTAAATTATTATTATTTCCACCATTTAAAATGTACTACTTTCATATGCTTGCTTGTTTACAATTTCTTAAAATTGTTTTTTATTTTTGTTTTGATTTTTTTGTGTGTATTTAGCTTTTTTTCAACTTTTAAGTAGTTAATTTGTTTTCTTTTTTTCTTGTTTTGTCCCTCTTTTTCATACTAAGTAGTTTAATATAGCATCATCAAGCATATTGAATTCGTCCAGGGTACACAAGTACATCTACAATTTTGATAATCGTTTAACGAATAAATCATTACAACAAATATTAAAGCAATAAAGGGTGATTTGTATATTCATATTTCAGAGAGAATAAAAACGATAAAACAATTACTTTTTTGTTTACATATTTCGCTTGTTAAATTCAATATACCGATGGTGTAGTAATGAAGATTTATCATTGTTTGTTGTCTTCCTGTTTGTTCCACAAGTTTTGTTGTGATATTAATATTTCATTCGCATGAAGCAATTCGCCATCAACAGTTTTTGCAATGTTTGTATCTATCTGTTTTTGTATGTATATGTTTCAGTGTCTTTTGCTCTGCGCTGTGCCACTGCTGTGTTTAGTGTTTTCACGTTTTTAGCCCAATTCAGAAAGGTATTAATATTTTTTTAGGTGACACTAAGGTAACACTTGCAGTCAATTTAATTAAGGTGAGACGGTTTTTGATCAAAACATAGAATTCTTAAAAAATACCAAATGCGCTATTAGCTATTTAAATACAAATAAAAGCTTGATAAAAGGTATCAATATGCTTGTTTTTTGCATGTGCTTTTAAAATATACCGTGAGCGAAAAGCAATAGGCGGAACCGTTTGAAAATTATTACCTATTCATGAATTGGGCATTGTGTATAACAAATTGGTTTTACATTTAAAATAAATGTTTGTATGTATGTATGTATGTATGTATATATGTAAAGTATGCATTTGAGAGCGCACGGGTATTTTGTGGCGGCAATTGTTTGTCAATAGTTAATGTTATCATTGTTTTGTTTTATGTTGAATTTGCTTATTTACTTGCAAACATTAGAAGAAACGGAAACGGCAACAGCAACACATCAGAGTACTTCGGAAATGTATTTGGGGCGTTTGGCAGCATCACTAGAGCCACCACCATTACCACTACTGCCACCACCACCACCAATACTGCCACATTCATCGCCCGATTCCATATTTCCACTGTAGTCAGTGGGCATTTCCTCATATATGATGTCAGGATGCAACGTTTGCACTTGCTGCTGTTGCTGCTGCTGCTGTTGTGCGCCAGCTGCCATTGCATGATTGCGTTTGAGTGCAATCAAGGCGCCAACACCATTTCCACTGCTATTGCCAATATTGCCAGCTCCACTCTCATTGTGCAACTGCTGCTGCTGTTGATGTTGTTGTCCACCGGTTATAGCTGAATTTTGATTTGAAACATAGTATGGGCTTCCGCTACTACTGAAACGTATTGAAATCGAGTAGCAATTGAGAGTTAGTCATATTGAATAAAAGGTGGAAAAATAAGTTTAATTAATGGGTCGATTACGGATGGCAACTGAGTTTAAGCTGCGTAGCAAATTGAAGAAAGGATATTAGAGATGGTAACTGGCAACTAAAACTGCTATACCGGCAACTGCATTTTTGTTGTTGCCGAGGAAATTTTTTTGAGAAAAACTAAATTTTCTCTGATGCGTTCGCAGTGTTGATTTTACAACACATGATGACAGTTTATATATTACGAAATAGACTTCATCTCGGATTGCGCTGCTTTCCATAACCGACCCATGAAATAATATTAAGGGATAATGTAAGCTTGGTGCTAACTTTCGTAAAATGCTTCAAACCGTAAAACTGTGTTTTCTTAAAAAAAAAAATCTATTTACGCTTACTAGAATTTTTCATAAATATAATTTTTTTTTGGCGGCCACCGAAGTCGAGTGGTTAGAGGTGTGCAGTAGACAATAGAGCTAGTTTAAACTTAGATTACGTAATTTGCGTTTATATTGAACAGCTGGCTGGCATTTGATTAGATACCAAAGTCTCAATTCAGGGCTCGAATCGTAACATCCGTTCACGGATCGAAAACGATACGAAAGAAAATACGTGATACGTCAGGCAGTATAAGCTGAATGGGACAAAGAGTGCGTTCACGTGTGTCATAATCCGAAAAAATGTGTTTTTACGGGACGAGTAGTACGATATCGCATGTGACGATTAGAGACCTGGATTAGACCGCGGTTGCCCGGGTGGACATATATTTGTAGCAATTAAAGTTTAAAGTTTAGAATAGACTGATGCCTTTGGGAAAGTAATTGGCTACCGTGGTGTACATGTACCGTAGGATATAAGGTCTGCCTCCCATAATATACCAGCTAGCTTTCTGGAAAATATTTAAGCTCATTTGAATTACATTTCTATCTCTTTTTTAATTACCAAATACTTGGTGAAAGAAATTAAGGTCGTTGCGGCAGTGTTGATATTCGCATTGCACTCCTTTCTTAGTCAGAATAACTGTTCTCTGAACAATGAACATTATGAAATTATTGGATAATATCTCAAGTAGTTCATCTACTAATAAACGCCATAACATTGGGGAGAGTACACCGGGGAAAACCTTGTTTACGTGACCAGGACGACCCAGATATTCCTAAAAATCTAACTCTTAAATAATCTCTTTGTCGTAGGTGGTTAGGACTGACCCATATTATTTTAGAATATTTATGCTTTACTAAAATTACGCTAAGAAACTTCCACACAACAAAGTTAGCACCGAGTTGCTTCTTACGAGATAACCTCAATTACAAGAGAAATATTCGACATACAAATAATAACTTAAAAAAATGGCAATAATTTAGAAGCGCCATAATTGATGATTTCGAATTAAGCAAACCCAAAAACCAAAATTCAAAATATTAAAAATAAAACAAAAAATTTACTTGTATTGATTGTGGGAATTGTTAGCCGCCGAATGGTGCATATTCTGAGTTGTATTGTTGTACATAAGATCTGCAATGCAACGCACATTATTTTTGTTATTATACTAAAAGAAAAACAAACGCGCTATCGCTTGCTTGTAGACTTATTACCACCATCGGCAGCGCGCTGCTCGATTGACATGCCAGGCGAGCCAGGGGCCGATTGCAGAACGAAATCCTGTAAAGGTGAACTCTCACGCGAATTGTCTGTAAAGTAATTTGAATAATTAATTATTATATAAAGAATATATGCATGCATACCCATATGACTCGGTGAGACCGGTGCCGAACGCGGCATGCCATATGATGGGCGAAAACCTTGGCTGCTGCGCTGACGGCGTTTCTTGTAGCTGTGATCAATCAATTTGGCGCCACTATCGGGATCAATGCGCCAAAAACTGCCCTTCCCCGGCTCATCTTGAGAGCGTGCCACTTTAATGAAATACCTATCGAACATGTGCAAAAATGATTTAGTGAATATATGTATTTGTTAAATAGGTTTATTTATATTTACACACCTATTCAAGCTGAGATTATGGCGAATAGAGTTCTGCCAACCTTTGTTAGTTTCCTTACGATAGTACGGATAATGCTTTACAATGAATGAATAAATGCCCGATAGTGTCAATTGTTTATCCGGTGCTGCTGATATAGCTTGTACAATCAACTGAGCATAGCTATATGGTGGCTTCTCATTGTGGTTGTAGCTAGCTGTCGATGGTGTTTGGAATAGATCTTGCTGTAATGAGAATGAGGCAAAGGCAGTAAAAGAAACATAGGTTAATGTTTATACAAATGTGTATTGTGTTTGTGTCATAGAAAAATGTTTACGTTTTGCAAATTGTTGTTGCTATAATTATTGTAGTTGGCTTGGTTCTGATGAAAACCTTGACGCGGGCTGGCTGGGCAACTATTAGCAGCACTTATTGTACCTGTGGTATAATTAAAAAAGAGAGATGTTTGTATTAGTAATGCAATGGCTAAATGTGATGGAAAAAAGCTCAACTTAAGAGAATGCTGTTAAAATTTTAAATAATTAGTAAAGTGAACTACTTTTAAGAGAAGGATTTAATCGAATTATGTAATAAATAATAGGCAGTATGTAAACACACGCGCCATGGTAAAAATTACAGTAGATCCACGGTAAAAAATTTCCATGTATCCAAGATAAAAAATGGATTCACGGTGATTTTGGAAGTGCGCGAATAACTGCTTTTTTAACCGAAGAAAATTACCGTGGATGCAAAGTTATCTATTTCTTGAGGAAACTTTAATTTAAATACCTCCGATTTTAGGGGTAAAATTGGAACCGTTGGAAAGCTGGAGACCCCACCGCCCTCTTTTTCAAAGGTGCGGGGACCTCTAGTTTTTAAGAAATTTAATACCAATTTTTTTTTTCTCGTAACGACACTATAGTGCTGTTCTAGATCTTGTGCATATGCTCTTGCAATTACATATTCGTTGCTTTTGGCAATGCACAACAATAAGATGCACACGGTTGCCATGACAACAAGCATAAAATTTTCAAATGCAATTTCCTCTGTAAATCCAAGACCATTTCCACAACATCATGCACAGTCCTTACATAAGACATTAAAACCCTTACTCTGCAGAATTCTCCTTTCTGCATAACCTCGCTCTTTACCTTTAGAAATTACCGTGGATGTACCGCAATTTTTTACCGTGAATCTACGGTAATTTTCACCGTGGATCTCCCTCTCTACGGTAATTCTTTTATCGTAGATATACGGTAATTTTTTACTGTGGATCTGCGGTAATTTTTTGGCGTAGATTTGCGGTAAATAGACACTTCCTAAATAATAATAACAGAGGCCACCAAAGAAATAGGTTATGTACACGTTTACCAGCGTATGTATGTAGATCATTTGGTGTGACAAAAAAATAAAAAAATAAATCTAATTAATGAGAAAAGGTCAATTAACTTGTAGTAATTTGACTACGCTACGTCTCCCTCCATTTTTTTTTAAGATTGTAAGTTAATAATAAGACTGAGATTCTCATGCATACATATCGTCACCAGAAATGCAAAATGACGTAACAAACATTATCGTTGAAATGCAAAACGTTATAACTAATAAAAAATTCAAAATTAACTTCTTGATTTATATGATGGATTACATGGAATTACAACTATCCACATCATTTTATGAAGAAATAAATAAAATATTATTCACCACTTTTTCCATTTCATTTACGATGTTGTTACGTCTATTTGCATTTCAGGTGCCGATATGCACTTATTCGTAAAATTTTCGATAAACGCATTACTCTTAAAAAATTCATGTATGTACACAAGTATGTGTTTAAATACATATTTACAAGTGTACTTCCCAGTAATTGAAAAATCAACTAAGCATTTGTGAATCGCGACCTAAATACATATTTATGTACATATCGTTACCTTAATATAGAAAGGCCTGAAATACAAAAAGGCGTAACTAAGTAAAAATCGAAAATTCCCTTTTTGATTGATTACGATGCATTTCATCGAATAATAAGTTCCCATATCATTTGGAGCTATAAAATTTAGTCGGTTAAAGCTTTTTTGCACTTCAGCGACTATATGAGTTAGTATATAAGTACATATATATGTATGTACATATGTACACACTTACGTGCAGCGCCCTTTCCGTATAATTTAACACGCAATAAAATCATACCCTCTTCTACCAAGCACCTGATATTACAAAATTTCTAAATTTAATTTAGATCAATGTGAAACTGTGAACAAGTAAATAACGCAGAGATAAATAATTACGCATTAGTGTACGCAAATCGTGCAAATTTTACATTATAGCACACACACACATGTACAATTATTGTATTTACATTCGTGTAGTGTTTTGTCTTTTGTTTTGTTCCAATTCGTTTTTGCGGCGGACATGCAAAGCGCCGCTTTTGTTTCCAATTTCACTGTTTTTGTATATTCATTTGTTTACACTACATTAAGTGCAGCGTACCTAATAACGTTAGTATGCAATAAATAATAGCAAAACAAAAATAGAGGGGCACAAAGTTAAATAAAGACAATTGCAACTTTACTAAAACATAATAAAAAAATGAAGCTACGCAGTGCGCGTTTGCAACAACTTATGTATAGGACAATAATTGTCTTCTCTCAGTGTATGCATGCACGTGTGCACACCATTTGCTTGTTAGTCTAACAGAGACAGTACAAATTCCACTTGCCAGTTGGTGATAAATATGGGCTCTTCTGCTCCTTCTTCGGTATGGATATCTTTAGTGGCGAGTACACATTTGAATTATCCATGTGCGGCAGCAAGTGAGTCGACGACGACACCGCATTTGAGGACACATGGTGTTGCTGATGATGAGAGCCATGTGTTGACGCATGCGCTGAAGAACCAGTCACCGCATGTGGATGATGATGATGATCATCGGGTGGCGCAGGCGAAATAATAAATTGAGCAGGGCCGCCACCTCCACCACCACTAACGCCAGTGCTATTGTGTAGGACAGCTATATTTTGATGGCTGTTGTTATGATACGGAACGGATGTGCCACTGCTGGTCGAGCTATTTAGAGCGTCGGCACTTGAAGTGCTACCGCGTACAAAACTTTCGAATTGTATGCGTATCTCGGTGCTAGGGAAGCGAAAGTAACAGCTGAAAAAGAGTAAAATGGATTTATTAATAAGCTTGATTATGTGGTTGTCTGAAGATCATAAAATCTCTATTTATATATATATACTCCTTATGCCGGATCCTCACAGGGCATTAAATGATTGGGCTTTGCATCATTACTTTTGTAAGAATAGCCATTTAGTATGTATAAAACCCAGCACTTTTGCTCGATTTGTTCAAATAAATCTAAGTGAAATTTAAGAAAACGCAGTTACTTATTTTCAATGCATACAGCCCAATGATTCGAATCCTTTTTTGTAGTAGCCGCTACAACAACAACAACATGAAAATTGGGAATTAAAAAATTCCTTTCATTATGTTAACAAAAATTGCCATTTCCATGCGGCATTTTTCTTAGTCAATTTTTTTTTAGTCATTTCAATGCCTAATGGAAATTCAGTATAATAAGTATTAAGTATAAGCAGTCCCGTAACTGTGTTCAACTATAATGTATTTTGTAAAAATTATGGCCCCTATTATGGTTCACAACCCAACTTAGTTGAGTTGTGTTTGATACAACTGTATACAACTCAACTATTTATTGCTATTGCCGTTCACAACTGTTTTCAGTTGACTGTAGCCATCGAAAAAGTAGGAAATTTGATACAATTTTGATATTTTAATAATATTATGTTATTTTGTTGATATTAAAAAAATTAAAAGCAAAAAATATAAATCGGTTACGAATTATGTTTTACCGATGAGCCCGAAGATGTTGGTGACAGACAACTACGTTTTTAAAGTTGAGTTGGGTTGTGTCCCACAATACCAATTTACAACTTACAACTCAACTATCATCAAAGTTGTGAATCATAATAGGGGCCTATGTAATTTTTTAAATAAAGCTTCCGACTTATCTCTATGTTGGCTTATGTTTAGTTGAAAGAAAAAGAAACCAAATATTTATTAAATTTGTGGAGTCATATATGGGCAGAGCTCGAAAGTGTTTGAATTTCATACTTGCAACACTTGCTAATGAATTCGCAAAAGATTAAATTTTTTTGTTTTCCCGCCCTTAAAAATTACGAATACAGGAAAAACTCATGCCTCAACATTAAAAAACTAAGTTGACCAAACTTACCTGTTAGGCAATCTCAATGGATCAGCATTGCGTCGCTGCAAGAAGTCATCAACGAAAATGCCATTTTTACTTAGACACTGCACGAAGAAGTCACGTGCATTTCCATCGTAAAGAACTTGAAAATGCTTTCGCGACACCAAATTGTTCTCGGCGACATGAAAGTGCACGTGTGATGTGGACGAGTTTCGTCCGATAATAGTTATAGGCTCAAGGATGTATAGCAATTCCTGGTCGTATTTTAGAAACCCGAGCGCATTGTCTGGTGCCGTTGAAACGTCAGTGCCGCTACCACCCGAATTAGTGGTGTTGCTGTTGCCGTCGGAGGCATTGGCAGGTGGGTGATTGGTAATCAATGTTGTTGGTGCACTGATTGAACCATCGTTCGCTCCGCCGACACCACTATTGGCTGTACTGCTGCTACTAGCTGCAGGACCTACCGAATTGGTGTTGGCGTTAGAGGATGATGTTGTATTCATGGCCTCCAGGGCAGAGCTATTATTATGGTTGTTATTACTGGTGTTGCTAGTATTGTTGCTGTTACTATTATTGTTATTGGTTAGTGCCGCACCACTGCCATGATGCAATTGGAGCATATCCTTGGCGATAGCAACAGTGGCAGCGTCGACGGGAACGGCTGCTGCTGCTGAACTGATTGTATTTGAGGTGGGCGGGGTAATGTTTGTGCTACGAGCGTTGTTAATATTGATATTACTGTTGTTACTATTGATAGTATTTGTGTTAGTTGCCGGGCCGGATAGAGAACCGTCGTCCACTTGCTGAGTAGTATGTGGTTGTTGTTGGTGGGGGTAGAATTCCATTTGTATGCGGCGCCTTTTTTTCCAATCCTGCCCTTTTGCTACACTTTTTTCCAATGAAAAATGTGTTAGCACTGCACGTCAAATACGGTTGATTGCGTTATAGTGCGTTTGTTTTCCTATTACATATGCATGTACTCTTTATTTTTAATCTAAACAAATTACTGCTTTTTCTAAAAGACTCCTTGTATGTAACAAAAAATATACATATACTAATTTTTCACTTGCACGCTTTGCCACACTATTCACATTCGGCCACTGTCCCGTGTTGCTAATATTAACACTTTTTTCGTCGGAATAATTAAAACTCAAGGTTTTTTTCTTTTTTTGCTTTCAAAAGATTTTTCCAAATACGAAATGTTTTCCGCACGCTTTGCGCACTTCTCTTTTCAATACATCCGATCGATCCTGCTCCGTTTGCAGTTCACCTCCCCTTCTCTATTTATTCCACTTTATTTTTTGGCTCTGCCGTTCGTTGGCTGGCAGCTATGGTTATGGCTACACAGCTCTGGCTCCGTTGGCTAATGGCTGATTGCTATGTTGTTTTTGTGGTTTTTGTTTTTCTTACGGATGTTGTTGTTTTCCCTGCCGATGTTGTTGTACGATGTGTTGTACAGGGCAAAACTGCGAACGAGAAAAATAATCGAGAAAAACACCAACTATGAAAAAGCACAAAACGAAGCAAAGGCAAAAACACACACATGTATCGCCATTGGAAAAATAAAAGCCGCTTCAATGTTGGGGAGCAACAGCGCGCTAGCCCCAATAACTTTACTGAAATTTAACAAACCCAAAATGATTAAATACTCTATACTTACCACGAAAGCAATTTTTTCAACTATATTTGGCTAATTTTATTTCGCCACACGCGTGTTTACAAACAAAATTCTGAACCGAAATCGAAAATGAAGAACTGAAAATTCTGCACAAAACACGTTTCTTCTACCAACGAGAAGACGGCAACACAGGGTGTGTTATATATCTGACAGTTGGTAGTACTGCGCCGAATACACACGCAAATGACATCTGCAGAACTTTTATAGAGCGGAAGGGAACAGCTCGTTGTTGGGGGGAAGAGGTAACTAGAATAAATACAAATACCAGTGCACGCAACATAACGAGCGCGGGTTTGTAAATATATACGCAAGTGTCATGCGGGGTAGGGTGGTGGAGGCGATGAATAGCAATTACCCAACGCGCATTTTAGTTTCAATTGAGGGTAAGTTCTAAGCTATAGAAATGCATTCTATAATTTCCAAGGTACATACTTTCTTAGCATGGCGCAATAATCAGGTGAAGTAATAAAACAGCTTTCTCGCTTTAGGTTCTATCATTCGGCTATCTTATGCAAATTTGTAAAGGAAAATTTTCAAATAAGATTGTGTAAAAATGAACAAAAAAAAATTATTTCACGCTCTTGTTCCTAGTATAATTTCACTATGCTTTCTGACTGCCCTTAAAATACCAGGAAAAATACGAGTTCACTTAACATCGGTATCTCCACGCTAATGACAAAACTCAAAGGCTGACTATACTATGCCGCAGATTTATTTTAAGCTCTTTAATGATGAAAATGTTTATTTTGTGTTTTAGACGCAGTAATTTTGAAAATAGTCACGATACATTTTTTCACTGTTTTAAATCGGCTAATGATCTAAATCATGCAGATGAGATAAAAGACCTCGGCGTAGTGTTTGATGATCGATTTTCTTTCAATAAACACATTAGCTATGTAACTGCAAAGGCGTATTCTGTTCCACGATTTGTAAGACGCAATGCCTCAAAATTCTCGGATCCTTATACATTCAAGTTACTGTATTCGTAATTTGTTCGGTCACATCTCGAATATGCGGTTTTTATTTGGAGGCCGTATAATCAGAATGCTATAAACAGAGTTGAACGTGTTCAAAAAAATTTTCTCAAGTTTGCCCTTCGCTGTTGGAACTTTTCAGACCCCGTCATATTCTTCACGTCTCATGCTTTTGAATCTCAAGTCTCTAGAAAGTTCCAGGTCTGTCTTGTGCCTTTCGTTTACATATATATAATGGTATTGTTGATTGTCCGTTTTTGTTAGAGAGGACCAGATTTAATGTCCCCAGGCGATCCCTTAGAAATTTCCTTCCTGTTATTATAAAACCATAGACTAAATAAATAAATAAATAAATAGGGCGGTAAACTGTAGGTACATATTGCACACCATATTCAAAAGGGGTACAACTCAAAAATTAGATCCGAATATCTGCTTGTGCGCTGACGACGTTTAAAAATTTACTGTTACACACTATGCATTGTTCTCATTCTGCAATTTCAAAAATTTCAAGTGTCAATTCATAAACGCAACAGAAAGTAGCGTGTCGGTTTGATTTCGATAGCAACTGCGTAAGCGCATTCGTAACCGCGATGGAATTATATCAGGTGAAATAATTAGAGCCAAAAAAAGTTTTTGACACTGCCTTATTTGTAAATTTGCCTATAAAATTTGACTATTAGGCAACCGAATGTCCGAAAATAAAGAAATAAAGCTGTTTTATTACTTCATCTGTTTATTGCGCCATGCTCGTAACGCCTTCGTTTGTAATAGCCCCCATACAAATACACGTAAACAATTTAGTTGACGAATTTGCCGGCGAACGCATGTTGTGTACCTTCTATTTTGTTTTACGATGAGGAGTGTTATATGTGTGTACATATCTTTAAAATGCAAGAAAGGAATACAAACTCCTTAAGAATGAACCGTTGAAAACTTACCGTATCAAAGTAAAATTAAACTTTAACTATTTATTTTCGCACTCACACTTTAAACTCATTAATTTAAGAGTACATACAAATACGTATACCATATACATGTTTTATAAGCCAAACACAGTTACTAAATGTTTTTTTGCACGATATGTACTTGCATGTGTACATGCCACTTTTCACATATGGCCAACATATTGTGTAAAGGCAAATTACATTAGTTTGTAGATCCACGTACATACGAATAGAAATGTTTATATTCTCATCGGACGTACAGACAGAATCGTTTGTGCTTGGTTTATTTCGATATCAAAGGACGTAAATTTAAATAGTTAATTAAATACTGTGAATTTGACAGACAGATTCAATTACATGTGTATCGAAACAGTCAAATTTACAGTTTGAAATACATATCGTGTAAGAAAACTTTAAGTAAACATTGCCCACCATTTTTGCTTGGTGGGTTACTTCCGACAGCATTGCCAATTCTGCTTATTTATTCCGATTGTTAAATTGGACAGAAAGAAAAGTGGAATAACTTCGCAGCTCTAGCTCTAAAAGAGGGCATAATGGCTGAGTTACCGGAAAATTTACAAATTGTAAAGACAGAAGGACCCCAATTACCGGAAACGGAAGTACAACCGCGTCGGCTTATTAAGGAGCGCCTGAATTTACACGTGAAACGTCGACTCCAACAAGAACAGGAACCGCAGGCACAAACGCAGCAGCAATTACAAAAAATTACTCACCCTTCTGGGAATATAGCCCGAGAAACTGTCGCTATTACAGCGCCCCAACAATCGCCCAAATCAGCGAATGTAAACGTGAATTTGACCGAAAACGACGTCACTGCCTCGACATCAACATCGAAAAGGAAAGAGAAACAACAACAGAAAGAACCAGTCAAAACACGAAGACCCTATCAAAAGCGTGTGGACAAAAACACCACCAAAATACAAACACAAACGCAAATAATTGAAGATGGCGGAAAAGGTCGCAAAACCAAACGTCATAAGCAGCAGGGAACATTTTTTGCTGCAGGGCCGAGTGGCAACGCCGGTGTATTATGTTTATCGCCCGGCGTTGAAGAAGGCAGCGCTGGCGGCGGTGATGAAGTGGATGGTCGAGATATGTATTCACGAGATAAAGAGAAGTGTCCCGATATTTTAGGTATGGTGTTGAGCGGCAAAAAGCGTTCCTTGATGCAAAATGCAGAGGTTCAAGAATTTTTAGCCAAAATAATGACTGCATTTAAAAATTAGAACTTAAGATTAAGAGCTTTCAATTAAGGTAATGAAGTCATATACTGTTACGTTTATTATTCACATACACTAGATTATTAAATAAAACGTTGAAATTACAGTAGGGGTCTTCCCTTAAACTTGTAAAAGCCTCGTAAAGCTCGTAAATTTACGAGCCTCGTAAAAGAACTGGCAAAATTTGTATGGAGCTTTATTTACGAGCCCCTCGTAAATTTAACCTGCTATACAGTTCAATGTGAGCGTGAGCGTGAGCTTTTTATGTTGACCAATATCTTCGTTATTACTTAACTTTTTGCAATAGTTGATACATCAAAAGATAGAGAATAAAAAAAAATATCTCAGAATTATAGAATAAAACCTAATTTAAAATTGACATGTTTTTTCAAGCTTGCAGTCAACTGTGTGCATACGCAAAGCATTCACATGTGAACGACAAGTTTTGACAGATGTGTGTGAGCGTACATAAGAATACAAATGGAATTATTTGCCTTTGCGAACGTTCACGCTTGCGCTCGCATTGAACTGCATATCAAGCTTTACGAGGCAAATTTGATGCTCAAACGCCATGTTGTTGTTGTTGTTGTTGTAATACAAGTTCCCCAAAGAGTTTTTGGGGTGTGTTGCTGGAGCGACAGTCCTTGGCCAAATATAAAGGTGAAATTATTTAAGAACGCAGAACATATACTTGAACGCAGTCTGTATCAGATGGTGGACCTAACAAAGTGCATGTTTTGAATGGCTTGGAAGAAGCTGTTATTGCATTAACTGGATTGAGAACCAAAGCTTGAGGCATAGGAGGAGTTCTGGCTTGTGGTTCCTCAATTCAACCAGAAGATGACTAATACTACGTTTATGCGTACGCTAATTCACGAATTCATTTCATGAATTTGGTTAAAATTGGCTGCATAAACACCATTTCATGAATTCAGTTATACACGAAAGTTTACCATGAATTCGGCACCATTTCATAAAATCGTGAAGTGCAAGTCCGGCAACGCTAAGTTTGACAAACAGCTGTTTACTAGGGCCATGATGTTTTTAGATTAAAAAGCTTGAGTGGCATAACCAGGATTTAAAATACTGGAAAAGTTGTGTGGAATCGTTGATATATATTTGGCTTGAAGACAAACCGGTTTCGGCGTTGTGCCATCTTCAGTGTCATTTTTCGTTCTGAAAACCGGAACCGGTTTGTCTCCACACCAGATTTGACAAGGGATGACGGAAAATCATTCCACATTACATCAAAACTGTATGTATTACAAAAAACGTTCATCAGTCAACTCCGGCTACGCCACAGTGTTTTTGCATAGAATTCGCTCCAAAATTTTCCGAAAAGTCCATATTTCAGGCGTGAAGAATCCCCAAAATTGGACTAACCCTACCTTATATCAATCTTCCATCTACGCAGAATCACTAACACCATAGTAAGGTTCAAAAAAGATATTCAAACTGGTTTTTCCATATTTAATTACACCCGATTTACATCATTCGTGTACTTAAAAGCAATTCTGGTTCATTCTTTTTTGATTTTTCTATTTGCTTTTACGCGCTACAATTTTGATAAATTCAAGTTTGTGGGTCTTTAAATGGGAAACAATGAAAATGTCAAAAGCAAAGGAAGAAACTTGAAACCACCTCACGGTACAGACGCACATGTACTCTTCCCTTTTCTTCTCAACCCCTCTCTTCAACTAGCAAGCAGAATTGAATTTAATACTTGAATCGTGTAAAACCCGGAAATAGGTAAAAAAAACGGCGATGTATAAGCAAATCAATGTTGCCGAATTCCCATTTTCAAAAATAAAAAAATGCAGTAGTACATCACGGTGCCGCGAACAAAGGTGGGCCGTCAGTGGTACCGCTACTTTGGTTTTGCCGATTTTGACAGTTGTGGTAACTTGTAAATAAACCTTTGTTTACAAATCAGCGAAAGAGAAATATGAATTATAAGTGAAAAATCAGTTTAAATTGTGTTAATTTGCAATTTGTGAGTGATTTTTGAGTTGAAGACTGCGTAAAAACTAATACAATGAAGTGATGTGTGTTAAATTGCGACAGCCGTCAAGATGCAAGAAGCGTAGATGCAAGTGTAGCGCTGGGACGAATCGCTGCATTTTGTGTACATAGGGCACGGTAAAGCCGTTCCCGAAATGTTTCTCTATTATTATATTAACAGCATTTCCTCACAATGATTTTGTTTCTGCTCCACGCAGCCTCCATTAGCAAGTTAACTAATCAATCCCGCAAAGATGCTGCTGCAGTTTTCTGCAGCAGCCTTAATTGCAAAGCAATGGAGTGTACTAAAACGTTTGCTGAAGCAGCCTCAATTGCAAAGCAATGGAGTGCTCTAAAATGTTCACTGTTCTCTAAGGTCGGTGTTATGCAGACAAACTTTTGTTTGCCAAATTAAATGGCGGCTGCTTAGTTTGCTCGGAGGTGGTTATGTCGAGTTTGGCACAGGGTTGCACGTTCATTATGGTTTTCATGGCTATTGCCAACACGAAATGAGAATTTCAGATGTACATAACGCGCAAAATTTAAAATTTTTGTATATGACAACACCGAATTTGCTGCAGTTTGACCAAACAAAATTAGTTTGCTGTGAGAGTCGCCAAACTCGCTCTCTCCGAGTTTGCTGCAACAACAATTGCACGCAGTTTGCCAAACAAAATTTCTGCATAACACCGATCTAATAGATTAGGTGAAAAATGCAATATTTTCGCATTTAGCAAAATTAAAACACGTTTTTCGCTGTAAAGTAAACTGCTTTGGCAGTTTCAACTCGTTCTTCTTTTCGCTCTATTCGTTGTTTACTTGTGGTACACAAATGTCAACGCCCAGGACGGCGCCATCTTGTATTCTATCATTCTTGGTAGTACATATGTATATTTCCTCAAACAAAGACTATCGATAGTGGCCAACGACCATTCGATAGTAGAAAAAAGTAGCACCATTCGATAGTATCGATAGTACCATCGATAGTTTTACAGCTCTAGTGGATATACGGCAAATTTGTTAGTTTATTGATATTATATAAAAAATGAATAACTTAACGCGTTTATTGGCAAATTGTGCATTGAATGCTACTCGCTATCAGCTGCCCAACAATACTGCCTGTATAACGTATGCTAAGCTGGTGCGGGGCAAGTGCAAAGTGGTAGAGAAACCTAAGCCGGGCGCTGGCCAACAATTTCGGCGAGTAGTACACTACCCGAAGGAATACACCGTAGAACCACTCAAAATTACTCACTTGGCAGGACGTGACCCGGTCACTGGTAGGGTGGTTGCAAAGGGTATAGGCGGCGGTATAAAGCAGAAATACCATTGGGTGAAGTGGGTGCGTGATGGGCCAGCTGAAGGACCGCCACAAGAAGAGCGGGTCCTTGAGATAATCGATGATGGCTGTCGTACCGCAAAGGTAGCACTTGTAGGCGTAGGAGATGAGCTTAAATATATACTTGCGACCGAAAATATGAAAAAAGGCGATATAATAAAAACATCGCGGTTCATACCCAGAATACCAGGTAAGAAATCAAAACTAACCAAAAATGCATCATATTAATTTCTTCCGTTTTTTAAATGACTTGCAGTGCGGCCAAATGAAGGTGACGCCTATCCACTTGGAGCATTACCTATTGGGACACGTATACATAATCTTGAGAAGAATCCCGGTTACCCCTTTCACTTGATACATGCCGCTGGCACGTTTGGCACTATCTTAAGAAAATTTGATGATAAAGTTGTAGTTCAATTGCCCTCCAAACGTGAATTTGCATTTGATCGAATATGTATGGCCACTGTCGGTAAGATCTAAACCTTGATACTAAGAAAATATCTGCGAACTGTCACATATTTAATATAGGACGTTTATCGAATGTTGAGCATAACAAGGAGCATATTGGCAGCGCCCAGCGCATGCGTTTATTGGGCAATCGTCCACGATCTGGCTTGTGGAAACGCAAAGAAGGCAAGCATGGTAGAAAAATCCGTAGATTACCACCCATGTCACTGGCGACGCCACCACCCAAGGCAAAGGATGAGGTTATTAAATTAACACTGCATTTGTAGAAGCCTTAGAGCGTTGAAGGTGTGATTATATTTTATTATAATAAATTTCTGTTGAAAAGAGCGTTCTTAAACTATGCATATGTGAACTTTTAAATATGGTTTTAAATTTTTCGAGATTTCATTGAAAAGCCTTGCCCATGGAAGCTTACTGGATCGTCATCTTCATCACCTTTTTTGGGCACACGCTCGCTGATTGGTTTTATTGAGCGATCAAATTTCAAATAACCGAACTGGTAATCGTAATCGGGCACACCGCGGGCGAGAGCCTATAAAATGAAATCCACTCATTGTAAGCAAAACTTTAAAGTTAAGTCTTCAAAACTTACCCTTTTGATAACGGGCGCATCTAGTTGGTTGTCTTTCTTTTTCTTGCCATCCAGACGTACACCAGAACCTTTAAATGTCTCAACTACCTCCTCCATGACATGATCTTGGCTCTCCTCTAAGGGTTGTACCTCCTGTTTGGATTTAGATGGCTCATAACCAATAGCCGCTTCGAATTCAACCTAAAATAATTAGTAATGTGTTACATGCGTTTTTCAAACTTTAAATGCATATATACACTTACATTCATGTCACATTCGATAATGCTAACAGCATCCCCAGGGCGCGTTTCAAGTACACACAATTCATATACCTTTTTATTGTATTTAATTGCAATAACATCGCCTTTCGTGAGGCATGCAAAATTACGCAAAGCATTCTCCAATACAGCTTTGGGATTGGTAATATCTAAGAAATCAGTGCTTTGTGGTTGAAATTTGGAAAAGGTGGCCACAGGTAAACTAACGCTTTCAATACGAACAGAAGAACCTTCGGTAATCAAGAGATTTTGCATCATCCACAAGGGCAAGTAACATTTTCCTTCCTCGGCCACAAATTCAAGCACACCAGCGTGAGTTGTGCGTTTTTGTGCGCGGTTAGTCAATTTGAAAAGCATTGGATATTCAACATTGTGACGTGTGAGCACGTCCAGCGCCGATGGTGGCATAATAACTGCGTAGAAGTTTTTTATTGGGAAAAGTCAGTTAGTTGGTAGAAACTCACTATTGATTTATACAAAATGCTTACTTTTGCCACCGCGCTCCAAATCCTCACGTTCATTGCCAGGTAACATGGCTACCGGGAAGCACTTGTAAGTTTCCTGAAAACTGCGTCCATTATCGAGGAACTCCATATTGAACCCGTTAAAATGAAACTGAAATAATTTGGAGCGAAATGTTATAAACTGAGGGCCTTATTTTATTGAAATATTTACCATTTTTTGTATTTTATTATTTTCTTAAAAGTTTTACAATGACTAGCCGTATTGTTTTTACTTTGTTTACAAATTTAGCTGTCAATCGTGAGTACTGCTTCTTGTTTGCGGAGCAGAGAACGTAAACGGAGCAGAGAACGTAAAGTATATAAATATACGTTCTCTGACGATTTCGAGTAAATTCCAAAACATCGAAAAATATAAATGATTAAAAAGGCGTATTTTCTGACACAATTGATTTTATATAAAACAGAAGAAAAATATGTATATTAGTTTTTAGTTAATACTTAATACATCAAATAAATAATCGAATAAATTGATTTCTCAGGAACAGTATAGTTATTTATGATAACTATACATTTTATAACTAATTTTATGCATAAATTGACAAAGTGTATAATAAGTTAAAAAACATTTATTGAATTGTATTTAAGTAATTAAAACGGAAGAGCGGAAGAGCGGAAAACGGAAAAAGACAATTGTCAAACTCATGCACACATTCATACATACATTCATCGTCGAAGTGAGCAATGCAGGTGTGTTTGTATTTGCATGTCCGTTCAAACTAGATGAGTACAGAATACACAAAACACATGCGTTCGCTCGATAATCGCGCAGTCAGTCAATTCAGTCCAGTTTCGTTCTCACTGGCAGTATTTTCCATTTATCGTTGCAGTGGTCGCAAAAATTGATTTCAAAATATTTGCTATACAAGTGAGTACAACAAAGTATGTAAAATTAATTGCAAAAATACAAAAGTTGATTAAGTAAACGTACAATAATGAACGGAAGTGCTGAATTGCAAAGCAATTTTAGTGTAGCATATAAATAAATCTGTCTATACAAAGTGTTAACGGATTTTCAATGTGCAAAAAGTGTCTGGAAAAGTATACACTAGTGGAGCAAGTGAAGTGCGAAGGAGTGAGTAGAAAAAATGTGGGCAGCGGGAGCGCAAAGAGCATCGATAAAGACATGTGAATGTCAAGATTATAAAAAAAAAAAAAATATTAGCCGGAGGCAGATGAGTACATATGTGTATGTATAGCTTGCAGGTAATAGCGTTTAGGCCAGGAGCAAGCTCCTTTGGAGTTTGTGCGACGCATAATTTCTAGGATAAATTTTACACAAACACATGTGAGTTGCCAACTACAATTGGCGCCACCCGTCCGTCACTTTCTAGCAGTTACACAGGTATTGGAAGCACGCAGAATCCTTCAGTCATACATCAGTATCTGGTATGAAAGTAGCAAGTGATAAAAGTTAAGTTGAAAATTTTCGACGACGGCGTTGGCGGAGATTAGCACGCTGATGCAATTATCAACACACACTGTTGCAATCAGCAAATGGGTTAAAAATCAATACATGAAATACAGTACACGCTGGCAGTGATTCGGCGGGCGGTTGGGTATTTAGCGCAGGCAAATGTAAGGTGGCGGCGGCATCAGCCGTTATAAGTAGATGGTTATCGACTGACTTACTTACTAAATGACTGTACTGTTCAATTGGATAAATGTTTTTTTTTTTTTAAAACATATACATAATTATTGGAGCGCAATAACGTTTATTTCAACAGAGTTATTGAGCTTCAAACAATTATTTGTTTTTAGGAAAAATGACATTTTAGTTCTTAATCTTCACTAAGCTTCAAATCTGTACGAATAGTGCAAATAACAAAAACAATTGCAGCCAACCGCTCTCACACCTTGTTGCCGGTGGCTGGCTACCGTGCGCAAGCTTATGCTGTACCTATCACCGCCTTAATACCCCCATGCATACACTTATTCACATGTATGTGTATACCCTACAAGACAGCTGAGTATCATATCAGTACTCATATTATCAGTGGTTGCGTTCATAAGACTTAAGGCCGGTCCACATAGAACTTTCGCGTTGGCTTTGGCGTTGGCTTTGACGTTGGCGTTGGTTTGACAGAACGCACGTTAAAAGTTTGCTTGCTACAATGAATGCTTGGCAGCGATACCTTGGGCCACTAAATTAACATACTAACGACAGATAAATTAATATTTCATATCAATAATTGCATTAAAAACGATATTTCTTGCCCGCACTTGATTAAAAAGGAAAAATATTTCACATAATTTTATTTATTTGCAACAGCTGACGAGCGACGCACGCGAAAAGTTGAGAGTTGGCCATCTTTTTGCTTTGTGTTGGCGTGAGCGTTGTCGAATTTTGGCTATGTGGANGTATCGCTAATTACAAAAGTGCTTACCAATGTCCTTATTTTCGTTCAGGCCATGGGCAAAAATTTAGTACTTTCCCCTCAATGTTGTCATCAGAAAGTCCTCAGTACTAATAGTCAAACTACTAATTTATGCCATACTACAAAAACAGAAGTGTAAATGTCGTCGCCTGGGTAAAAGATTGTCGAAACATCATACGTACGTGCGTAATATACGATAACCTTTTACCCAGGCGACGATGTGTTTGGTCGGTGTTATGCAGAAATTTTGTTTGGCAAACTGCGTGCAATTGTTGTTGCAGCAACCTCGGAGAGAGCGAGTTTGGCGACTCTCACAGCAAACTAAAGCTGAAATTAGTCAAGAACGTAAACCTACCAAAGCGCCATGTAAATGAAAACTCAACACCGCAGAATTTTTCTGTAGTTGTAGCCCGTAGCGCAGAAATCTGCGGAATTTAGATTTTTCCGTGTCAGCTGATTTCTTCCTTCTATAGATGGTTGCCACTTCGCCAGTTTTGCAGATGGTAAAAAAGTTATAAGTTCCTAGACAAAATACGTTTAAAATATTTGAAATTTACTATTGAATAAGGTTTTTTTTGTTCAAAACTAAGTAGTTTATATTTAGCTACCATCCATTCTACCACGAAAAATTGTAGTTGAAAAGGCAAGTTTATGAAAAGGCATTGATGAGTGGCAACACTGTAGTAAAATTCTGCGTTTAAGTATACGTTCTGCGTTCTTGACTTATTTCAGCTTAATTTTGTTTGGTCAAACTGTAGCAAATTCGGTGTTGTCATATACAAACATTTTGAACAATTGTTGCTATAGGTACACAAAAATTGCGGTGATACCGAAAGCCAGAGAACTGAATTTATGCTGTAGGAGCTTCAAAGATTAGGGCACAGTTAATTGCCTATACGATATAATAAAAAAATATATTAATTGTGCACGTTATGTACATCTGAAATTCTCATTTCGTGTTGGCAATAGCCATGAAAACCATAATGAACATGCAACCCTGTGCCAAACTCGACATAACCACCTCCGAGCAAACTAAGCAGCCGCCATTTAATTTGGCAAACAAAAGTTTGTCTGCATAACACCGANGTCCTGCAGCTGTGTCCTTTTTACTTGTTGTTGGTATGCATACGCAGATACATATGTACATATAGGATACATTAGGATGGTCAAAAACTGCACGTGAAAAAGTAAAGTTGGAATTTTAATGTTCTCATCCACAAGGATTGCTCTATATCGAAAAAAAATATACTGTGCACATTAATTAAAAACAAACTTAAAACTTGCCAATATGAGCTGGGCTTATAATTTTGACATGGGGTGTATTGGTATACTACTTTTTAACTTTTTATTCATTATTTTCTCGAATGTTTACGCACCGAATCATAGTGTAAGTTTCCACTATTTGACAAAAAATGTATCCTTTAATGAAAGGATAAGTTTTTATAACTTATGAAATGGTTTTTATTCATTCTCGATTTTAATCGAAACGACGGATTAATCGGTTAATGTCCTACGATTAATTGTAATTAATAATCGAATGCTTTCGATTAATCAATTAACAGATTAATCGATTATTCGAGTTTTTTTGCCACCACTAAGTATGAATTATAAATATCTACGTATGTTACATATTGTTCATCTTTAGAGCTTTCAAGTCTGGTTCACTCTTTAGAGTAGTGCAGTCAGTGCAAAATAAAAACTGTTCATATTTTGGGTGTTTATATTTTACGGTGTTCACATTATAGCGCGTGCACTGTACCCCTATGTTTTTATGTCGAAATTAAAAAAATATTTAGAGGCGCTCAAAGTGCTCAAAGTTTTCCATGTATTTTATCTGGGGGAAAACAAGGTTTTGTGGAAATGGTATGGAATTCTTGAAAATCAATATTTTTCGATCCGAAAACTCAGTTTCTCTTCAGAAGACTTCACGGAATCTAAAAAATGTTAACCATTTCCTCGAAAAACTGTTGTTTTCCCATATAAAATATATGAAAAACTGTGAGTGCTTTAAGATACCTCTAAATATTTTTTGATTAAAAAAAAAAACAAAAAAAAAGTATAGGGCATGTCTTTTTCCTTGAGGGCATTAAAATGCCGACTTTGCTTTATTGGACCACCCTAATGTACATGCGTTGCTATTGTGGTACATATGTTGAAATGTCCTTGAAATGCGTGTACCATCCTCTTTACAGACATAAACATATACATATATGTATGTAAATGATGCTGACCCACGGCGTATCCTCTTCCAATTGTATGTCGCCACGTTTCCTTTTGTGTTTACTGGTGGGGTTGTTCCAGTCAGCATCATACTTCATTACGGTGTGTGGGCTGGGCAAAGCCATTTTACAATTTTGCTCAGCAGCTCTAATTACTTGCATACACGTGCGAAATGTACATACAAACCTACTACATACATTCATACTATAGTATATGCGCTTAGCTGCTTTCATGCCTCAAACCACCTATTTGTTTTTTTTTACTTATTAGCAAACAGAGATTTCCATTATTCATAACAATTGCGGTACAGTACTTCACTACAGGCGTTCAAAGTGCGCTGACCATCCAACGCACAGTAGTGCGTATTACTTCTTTGTTCCTATTTTCATCCTTTTTTCTTTGTACAAAGCGTGTGTTATATTTTTAGTTTTATTTTTTCTTAAAAGTTGTTTTGATTCGTTTCATATTTACATTTTGACTCGTGTTCCCATTTTGATAATGCTATGTCCTCTATGTCCTTTCCAGCTGTGCAATCTTGAATCTCTTCACTCCTTTGTTACTTTTGCCATTATGAGTATTTGTGGTCTGTGGCTGCATTGATGAAATGCTTTTTGAAAG